GGAAAACCCTAAAAATAGCCCTTTTCTATTTCCCATACAAACGTTTTCTAGAGTCAATTTGAACTTTATTGCTATTCAATAAAGTTCATATTAAATTATAATCACTCACTGTTGTCTAAGCAATTTAAGTGTGTTCCTAACGTCAAAGAGTCAATTTGCAATTTATTACCGCTGCATAAAGTTCAAATTCAATCATATCTATGAAAATAGTCTTCGCGTGCGCTTTGGAGGATCTAATGTCGCGTTCCGAAAATAAACAAAAGTGAATCGACACCGCGACAAAAAATGTAATAAACTATTGGTAGTACTGATTTCCAATTAATTTGGTCGGGTCCGCGAAACTTAATTTTAGCTAACTTTAGTTGTAACTGTATCAGATTATTTTTTTAAGTTTGATAAATCTTAAGTTTTGTCACAAATTAAGTTTCTGAACACAACCATAATATTTGACATTAGATTTAACAACCAACTAATATGTCAATCATTCTGTCGCACTTCAGAACACGGAGATTTATGGCTTAAAGATAAACTCAAAAAAATAAATAAAAAAATCAGAACACGGAAAAAAGTTTACGATTGACGATATTGTGTTACGATCATGGTTACGATATTCTATGAGTGCATCCTTCTATCTTTGTGAGTGACGATTACCGCTACGTACGCGAGAACTTTCTTTACTTTTGTGATCCTTTGTGATAGTAACATTCCAAGTAGTGTGCTCTTTTGTTGATATTTTGTGATAGTGACACTTTACTGTTAAGTTACTGTTAAGTGAGCGACAAATTTTCTCACTTTGATTAATTAAGTTACGATGCCGTGGAGAAAACGACCTGACTTAGGTCGTCGCAGTCAATCAAATGTACAAAGAGCTACCTCACGTGCTAACCGCACTGATGACCAGAGAGAGACATATCAAGAAAATAGTCGTATTGCTATGTCAGAATTGCGTTTTTTAGTGAGTGACAATGAAGTGGATAGGCTTAGAATGCAACGAGTTCGTGCACATCAAACACAACAACAGCGAGCACGACATAATGAAATTGAGCGAATCTGCAGACGCAGTGCTGCTGTGATTCTTGAACGAGCTGCATTCCACTATGATCCGGCAATTGATTATTGTGCCGACAAATCTGTAACAATTGGGGAAATGAAAATAATTTGTAAATATTGTAAGGCGTTAAAATACACTGGTGAATCCACTGGATTATGTTGTGCTGGAGGCAAAGTAAAATTGTCACAATTGGTCCCACCACCAGATCCTCTACGCTCTTTAGTTTCTGGGATTGGAAATGATTCAAGCACTTCTTGGCCAACATTCAGAAATATAACAACTGTTACCAGATGACATACCCACAGATTTCTGTCACATCACAGATTCAAAAGAGGAGCTTATTCAGCGTGTTTTCCCAGATATAGCGCAAAAATTCAATAACCATAATTGGCTGGGTGAACGAGCAATATTGGCAGCAAAAAATAAAGATGTCGAGGATCTCAATGCGACCATTCAGAATTTTCTTCCAGGACAGTTGGTTTCCTTCAAATCAGTCGACACCGTTATGAACCAGGATGACGTAGTCAACTATCCCACGGAGTTTTTGGAATTCACTGGAATTGCCTGGATTACCACTTCACAATTTGCAGTTAAAAGTAGGATCCGTTGTCATTATGCTACGTAACATTAATCAACCTCGACTATGCAATGGAACAAGACTGGCTGTGAAAAAGCTGATGAATAACGTCATTGAGGCAACAATCATAAAAGGAAAATACAAAGGAGAGGATGTCTTGATCCCGCGAATAACGATGATTCCAACGGATTTACCATTCGATTTTAAACGCTTACAATTTCCAGTACGTCTGGCCTTTGCGATGACAATAAATAAATCGCAAGGACAGTCTTTAGAAGTTTGCGGAATCAATTTGGAGTTTCCCTGTTTCGCGCATGGACAATTATACGTCGCGTGTTCGCGCGTCGGAAAACCGTCTTCTTTGTTTATTTACGCACCACAAAACAAAACAAAAAATATAGTTTATGAGAAAGCTTTAAATTGATTAACAAACTGTATCGTAACAGTGTGTGTCTGTTAATAAAAATTTAAACCTTATAAATAGCCAGTATTTCAGGAAAACTCTGTTTTTTTAAGTAAGCAACATGATGTGTCGAAAATAATAATAAAACTTCATGCTTCATTAAAAAAATGCTTTTTTATTCAATACGTTTTGTTTGTTTTGAAATTAATTTATACAAAAATTTAGGTCTTTTATTTATCGATTGAGGCAGTACGAAGTCTGCCGGGTCAGCTAGTGTTGTGAATAAAATACACATCAGACTAGGATGTAAATTGATAAAACAACATTTATAACTAGCGACGATCCGCTCTGGCTTCACCTGGGTGGAATCTATTAATGTATAATAATTATCGCATCAATATTTCTATTTTAATATAGTCTCTAAATTCTTCGGATAAAATGTAATGCAGATCACTCCTGGTATTACTATCTGTTGTTCGTGAAGTTTTATTACAATCGGTTCAGCCCACAGTTTATCCTCATAATAAGTATATGGTTCGCCCATAACTCGGAAAGACAGAAAAACGAAAATGAAACAAAGAAGTATTATAATCAAACATTATGTTTATATTATTTTAGGAAGTTTTACACCATTTATTTTTACACATTTATTTTTATCGAATAATTACGAATTTTTAACAGAAAAAAAAGAAATAATAAAAGATTTTGTTACTTTTAGGTTTATATCTTTAGAACCGAATTTTAAAATTACAATTTGACAACCCGGTGCCTAGTAAGCGGTTTCTCTCCTAGGTGATTATAGATCCGGCTATTTACGTCGCCTTCCGAGCATACAGGCCTGTATGCTCGGAAGGCGACGTAATTCGATACTCCTGTTGGCTCGCGACCTAAAATGGCGGGAAATGCAAATTTTTTGCTAATTTGCAAATTTTGCTATATTTTCACTTTGAGACAATATTTATGGATAAAACTTACAGGAAATCTTGTTGAATGTATAAACTATCGAATAAAATTATTTTTAGTTGCTAGAAATTGTAGTAAAATTCATAAATTACCCTTTATAGCATACTAGTAGTAGACACTTCACTTTTAGTCACAAAATTAGTACTCTCAATTTAATCTACACGTTTGTTTTTGAAGAAATCTATATGAAAATGTTTGGAAATATGTATATTTTTACGTTTTATGTGTTTCTATTCGTTACTCATACCAAAATATAAAAAAAATTAAAAAAAATGAAATTAATTTTTATCTGTACGAAATTTCGAAGAATATTTCAAATACATTTTTGTGTGAATTTGAAATAAATTTATCGTCAATTTATTTGTAATATGTTATAAAAGTAGTTTTTACTTACATTTTACACTAAAAGTAAATGAAAATTGGTAAAATAACACATTTTTGACCCAACCGCTAAAATGGGCCTTCTCGATTTCGAAGTGCTTTTGGCACTTATTTTTCACCTTTTTATGCTACAAATTATATATCTACGTGTTTGTCATATTACAAGGAATACACAAAAGTATAAAACTCACCTTTTTATTTCAAAAACACAGAAAAATGGAGAAATCCTAATCCTCAGCAATAGCTCACGCACAACCACGCCCTACTGGTGTAAAGACCCATTACGTCAGAATGAGTTTTTATTGTTTATTTCTTATGTGACACTGACAGATTATGGTACCAAATTAAAGAATATGTCTTTTTCTATATCTGTAATATATATTTCAGTATAACTTTGTTATAATTTTTAATGACAAACCTTTTTTTGTCTGGTTCGCTCTCATAAATTCTTAGTAGGCGTATGTGTACCATTGTAGAGCGGGCGGCGCGCGGTTGTATTAGTCACATGTGTATCCTTATCGATCGTACGGGATTCGGTACCCTCTGTCGAAGTTGAGCATGCCACAATATACAAATTGATCTTAGCTTGGCTATTAAGCCCGGGAAATAACTCTTTCATGTCATCCCATATATCTAACGCATCTCCCTTTATAGGAGTGACAGGAGATTACATGAATATATTATGAAACACTTTTTCTGCTTTAATCTTATTTCTTTTGTGGTGCGTTAATTCTTTATGATAGTTCTATATGTCATTTTCAGTATTTTTGCTTTTTCTGAATACATTTACAAAACTATACTATGCCGAAATACAAACAGGCGAATCATCCGTCAGTTTAAACTTCATCCGTCATCTGTTAAAATCAATATTTCAGAAAAGTGATTGTATTGAAATATGAAGTACCGTAAGCCGATAAAACAATTTGGGTTATAAAATGACTATCACCTTATAATTATAAGATTGTTCAAACGCTATTAAGTATAGCTATAATTTTAGTAAGTTAAAGTTGAAACAATATAATTATTTAAAAAATGAATAAAACAATTTCAATCTATTTTGAAAATGAAATTACTGATTGACGACAATTGCACTTCTGAAATTCGAGTATATTTATTTTCGGCTAAAAGACCATTCGTCTGTATGTTGATTCGTTATTAAAATTTTCGGTATTGACTTATTTCTGCTTATAGTCCCACAAGGATCATTTGGCACTTGTGTGACATTGACATGAGGGCGTGGGTGTTCACTAACGTTTACCAGCTAAAAAAAATCCTTTATTTTATGGAATTCGTCTTAATTATGGAGTATGGGGCTTGGCAGTATCCCAACTAATATTATAAATGCGAAAGTGAGTTTGCTTGTTTGTTTGTTACGCTTTCACGCCCTATCTACTGAGCCGATCATCATGAAATTTTGCATACACGTTGGGAATGATGTTGTGGCGAAAGCTAGTTGGGTTATATAACTAGGTTGTTAAATGGTTTTTGCAGGCTCAGGCTTACCATAAGGCAGGCATTATGCTTAGTTGTTACCTTAGTAGTATAAATTAAAAGAAGGAAATATTTGGATGACAGAATTTATAACATGAAAACTATAATGAGTAAACGAAATAAAAAACAATATTTCAAATTTTTTTACTATAATTATGTTCTGCATGAACTATGGCGAGAGGTTCAATGCTATTAAATTCTTCATCACTTTCATCTTGAGAATCTTCATCACTGCTTTCTTCACTCTCAGAGCATAATTCCACGATGAAAGGTGCATCCAAATATCCATCTTTACTTCTGTATTCTTCTTCATGTTTCTTAACGTGGGCACAATGATTGCGCCATTCTTCGACGGGAATGGAATTAAAAGCTTCCTGTACCATTTCTGGCATTTGATTGGCTGGTTTGCCAATATTTACCTCAGCTACTTTGTGTTTCATTGATGCCCAGATCATTTCAATGGGATTAAGGTCACAATGATACGGTGGTAAACGCGATATCTGAAAAAGAAAATAAGCAATTTTAAATAAACCCATAGTCATTTATTTTAATAAAAAATAACAATTTATGAAGTCACTTTACTAGTAGATTTAGTATTTAAGTCATGATTACCTTGTGACCCAGTCCTTTTAAAATAGCATCAACAGCATACACTGGTTCTGGCTTATATCTGTTGACAATTTCCAACAATTGTGGTCTTGTGTATTCTTCTGAATATTCAATATTGTTATTCTGTAACCACTAAATTATTTCTGGTTTTCTGGTAGTTGTGTTTGGGGGTTTGTTGATGCGTGTATTGTAATATGGAGCGTTGTCCATTATAATTAAACTGGGTTCTGTCAAATTGGGAGCTAACTTTTCTGCAACCCATTTTTTAAAATGTGTGTGATTCATATCATCATGGTAATCACCACTTTTTGTTTGTGATTTGAACACCAAACATGCATTCTTTACAAAACCTTCATTACCTCCGGCATGGACAATAATAAATCTTTGTCCTTTAGAGACAGGCTTTAATACTCCACCTGAAATCAATCGTTTGTACATTAACAAATGCAAATAACACTAATTAACTAGACTATAAATATTATGAGATAGTTAACTAAACAATACCTTCATCATCATCCTGCCAACATTTACCAGCTGTATGACCGGAGTGAATATATGTCTCATCTAAGTAAACAACTGGTAATTTTTCTGTCTCGTCATTACGCTTTATAGTCTGAAATAAAATAATTCTATGTTACTCATGAATAAGTGTGTCACTTTAATTTAAAATACATTATGAATAGAAAATAAATGTACCTACCTGAAGATAAAGAGCGCGCCAAGCAGTTATATCGTTAAGTTCCATCAGTACTTTTCTATTGCTTTTAGTTTTTTTATATCGAAAACCAATCTTTTTTATGTGCTGTCTGAGAATTTCTCTACTGCCAGTGAATCCAATCTCTTCTTTAAGTAGACGAAGCAACTTATTCACTGTTGGTATTTCTTTTTTACAAGAATAAAACTCATGAATCTTTCGTCTAAGAACACCAATATCAAAATTGTCCATAACAATTTTATCCTTCCTTGTTTTTCTTTTTTTCCCCGGTGTTACTATTTTACTTGACGATTCTTCAGCTAATTTCCCTTCATTTGTAATTCTTGCAACTGTTCGTAAAGATATACCTGAAATCGTATTTATTTTTATCAATTTGAAGGAGAAAATATATCTCATAATATGCCTACAAAATATGACCACTATCCTTGGTAAATAAAACGAGCAAACTAAGGATACTATGTATGGCATCACTTACCTGTAGCAGCTGCAACGCGCTCATTTACTCTTTCAAATGGAATAACAGGGGCGCTAGATTGCTTTTCCTTCATAAAAAATCTCTTCACATTTAGCACCACCTCTCTAGTACCACTTCTTATCAATTTCGGCATATTTTGAGATTTATAAACGGCACTAAAAGCAATAAATAACGGCAAGTTATACAACAACGACTTGAGCCGGCTATCTAAACTGACGTTTTACAAGATGGCGGCAATGACGGCGTTTAGTTCCGATTATAGCCACGTGCCAAAAGATCCATGCAGCACTGTAATACTACTTCTTCGACGAACTTCGACATTTTTTTTAGAATATTTATTTTTCGGTGATATAAAATGGCAATGATTGACCTACGAAATATTATACCTTCGAATAGTTAGTTATTTAGGTACCTTGTGACTCTGACTATTTAACGGCAAGCCAAAACATCTTTCACAAAACATCGCTCATGAAGAACGACGTTTATGAACGATATATCGATGTTTAAAAGAATTGATGTATTGTTTGCATCCCTAGTCGCGCATCGAATAAGCGCCCTAACTGCCCTTAGTATGGTATTTATTACACTGCACGGTGGTAAGTGCACTGCAGGCCGGGTCTACTTTGACGACCCAATTACCATTACTCTCTTACTCTTTTTACACCACCCTTATTAAGGGCTTAGGGACCCTGATTCAGTGTAGTCTAATAATGTCCTCCAGACCGAATTTCGGCCACGGTGGCCTGCCTCAACGGAGACTAGCCATCGGTGCAGGACAGGATTATAGTGCCCAAATGTATGCGCAAGCACAGGTGCACTCTCTCTTCCCTCACTCTCACAAACCGATGGGATGGTAAACCGACACGACCGGAGAGAGATCAGGCGCAGGACCAACGGATTTACGTGCTTTCCGAGGCACGGGGGTGATACATCGCCAACTTCCTGACTCCGAGCAACTACTGAGAATTTCTTGACGGAAAAACTCAATAATTAATTTTTTGTCCCGACCCGGGATTCAAACCCAGGACATCGTGATCAGCAGTCGCACTACTACTACCAACGAGGCAGTCGTGTAGTCTAATATATATATATATATATATATATATATATATATATATATATATATATATATATATATATATAGTATAATCATTATCATCATCATTTCATCCCTTCACAAGTCCACTGCTGAACATAGGCCTCCCCACAGGAATGCCACAAAACACGGTCCAGACTCTTGAGCTACCTGCATCCATCGAATTCCTGCATGTCTTACAAGGTCGTCACTCCATCGGGTGGGGGTTGCTCTACACCCACCGGTACGAGGCTGCCACTCGAGAACATTTTTCCCTATCGGTTGTCGATTCTACGAGCTATATGGCCGGCCTTTTGCCACCTCAGCTTACTAATCCGTTAGGCTACGTCTGCCACTCTGGTTCTACTGCGGATATCCTTATTTCTAAGTCTATAATGCAGAGAAACCCCGAACATAGCCCTTTCCATAGCTCGCAGAGTGACCATGAACGTCCTCATACGTCCAGCAGTTAAGGTCCACGTCTCAGATCCGTAACTCATCACTGGCAACACGAACTGGTTATGCGGTCTCGTTTTAAGGTCTTGAGGTATAGCTGACGAGAAAAACCAATGACTGACAATGACGAGCAAACCGCAATGCGTGATAAAATAAAATCTGTCTCTGGAATCAGACAAATTAACAAACAATAACAGCAATAGTAACAAAAACAAAGTAATGAGAACGGAAAACACATAGCGTATACAAGTTAATTTGTTGAGTTTTGTTATCTTTTGTCATTATTGTTAGTTTCTTGTTGGCATAATGCCAAAGGAACGAAGAAAACCGTTTTGAAGAGTCAAAGTCGTGAGTTTGTTATTAAGGTGAATATTTTGAGCGAGAGAACCAAAATGGCGGGCCGCTATTACCCATGGAGAACGTATGTGATAGAGTTGCAGATGCTCTTGACATTGGACATGCGACAGTAATTCGCATCAGCAAAGAAAAGTATGGCGAATCTTCAACCGCAGCATTGACTGAAGACGCAGGCCGCTGCGATTCGCAACCATGTTTATGGTTACAATACACGGGGCGAATTGCCTACATTGAAAAAACTTGCCGCGTCCCTCAAAGACGCAGACTTGTTCAAAGGAAGCTTGCCATCTCTAACGAAGATATTGAAAAATATTGGTTTTTCCTATAAAAAAGTGACAAAAGAAAAATTATTATGGAAAGAACCGACATTGCTCTTGCTCGAGTGAATTTTCTCCGAAAAGTCAAAAATATTACAAATTGGGACAAAGTAGTGTTTCCAGACGAGACGTGGCTAAACGCCAATCATATATTATCTAAAGCATGGGCCGATGATACTGCACAATCAACCACCAAAGTACCCGAAGGCAAAGGTCAAAGATTAATCATCACTCATGCTGGGACGTCATCTGGTTTTGTGCCTAATTGCCTATTGGCATTCAACTAAAACTACTGAAGGTGGTAACCAAACTCAGAAAACTAATGGAAGATGATTGGGAGCGGGACGTCCGATTTGATAATATTTGCGAACAAGGGTTTATAATAAATTTACAAGATTGTTCTAGTGATTCAGAAACTGATTCAGATATAGATTTGGGGTGTACTCCTTTAAGAGAATAAATGCATTTTATATTAAAAATATTCGTTTAATTTAGTAACGTTTGTAATTAAATTATATCCAATTATTATGTGTTACATTAGCATCGATAATAGTAAGAAACATCGATAATTTCCATCTACAAATTTTTATTTCCTGACAACCCTAGGAATGAGGTGGGCGTACTACACTATGGAATATATTAAAACGACTCGGATATAAATACAAAAAGTGTCAATCAAAACGAAAAATGTTAGTGGAACGAACAGATAAGCTGCTACCTAATTGTGTGATTGTGATGGACAGTGCACCATATGATAAAGTACAAATAAATAAAAGCCCTAATATGGCATGCCTCAAAATAGATATGGTAGAGTGGCTTTAAAACAAGGTACTGTTTTTTTTCACTAAATTTTGCCAAAAAATATTTTATATAAATTAATAGAAATAAATAAACCAGAGCCCGTATATAAAGCTGACGAATTAATAAAATCACATGGTCATAATGTTTTGTGACTGCCCCCATATCTTGCAGATTTAAATTCAATTGAGCTAATATGGAGTGCTATGAAGAGACAGTTCGAAGAGAAAAAAGTGGGCCAGAGAGATGATCAAGTGGAATCCCTTATAAAAGAAACGTTAAGCTCAATAAGCGAAGAGATTTGGAAAAAAACAGCGTTCAGATGGTATAAAAATTGAATATGAGCAGATAGTGAAAAATAAAATAATAAATGAAGTAAGTAATCGCTTTTTATTGTGGGTCGGCATTCTAACCTCCATGGACAGTGACGAAAATGATAGTCACAGTGAGTGTTCAAGTAACATTGAAGAAGTTATTATCCCTTTACACCTTATTAATCATAATTATATAAAATGATGCTTTTTAACCCTCTCTTAGTAAATTTATCCCGAATGTTCCTATTGATATATGAATTATTTCAGAGAGTACACAATAACACTTAAAAAGTCACATAAGTATAGTCATCAGCACCATATCCATATCCATAATACCTTTCCCTACATTTTGGGAACGCTATTCACATTGAAACATGCAACACTGTAAATTACAGTGCTGCCAATCGGATTACGCGTCAAGTTACGATGAACGGACTATATCTTTTATCGTCTATAGTTGAATAATGTACAAATTTTCTTCGCGGCATTGGTGAGAAAATTTTGATGCTCTGTAATTTTGTAATTTTTGACAAAAAGAAACATTTAAAAATGGATAAATATTTGTGCGTGGCTGTGCAAGTGTTTTAGCATCTGATCGGGAAAATAGACTGAAAATGACTTTTATTGAGCGAACTTAGCAATCACAGCGCCTCACTTATGGTGTCCATATTTCTGGGACACTATTTTCTACGGCTATCGTTCTCCTGTTCTCTACCCTCCATGGTATACAGTATACAGTACAGTATCAGTCAACGTCTGTTAAATTGACGTTGTCAGGGAGTTTTGGCGGGAACTTGGCCGAAATAATGGTTTGAAATGAATTTTGATTCGTAAAAGTTATGCGATTTTTTGAATTAAGTGTCTGCGCATGTAAACTATTAGAGAAGACGACGAAATAACTGCTTCGATGTTGATATAAATCTCAAGTTATTTTGATCACGTAGGCACTTTATGAACGTGAGTGACTATCGTCATCAACTATTCGCTGGGTTGAGCAGTCATCAAAATCTACCAAAAACTTCAAAATATGTACGTATCAGCATATTGTGAAGAAAAAGTCTATAAAAATGAATATTTCCAAAAGAAATGATGGGCTCAGAAGGACTAGAACCTGAGCTCCGCCCAGTTTCATTTGTCACTTGTCACTGTCAGTGTCAGAGTCTGATTCCAGAGACAGATTTTATTTTATCACGCATTGCGGTTTGCGTATGCGGGTTACGCGGAGCTAGATGCGAAAAAATCAATTTTTCTATATAATTGTGTAGTTTCAACGAAGAAAACTTTTAAGAAAATAATTTCAATATGTCGAAAACCTTCACGAAAGCTGGTGACAAGGTTCAAGATGAGGTAATAATTTGCATTCAAATCTGTTTTCATTTTATTATAAAATATACGATAATCTTAATAATTAAAAATTATCGATAATTTATGATGACCGGCTTCTTTATTTTGATACAGTTTGATAGTTAGTACTTAACCAATAATACCGTAATAAATATTGCACTGACTTGCTAGCATTATTATTATAATGAATGTTGAATTTAACCTGGATGATGCCTCCTTATGTATTCCTGGATGAATTTTCTTTGTCAAGCTATGAAAATTTCAGAAAAATCATAACATTTAAGTAAGTTATGCATTTAATTGTAATCTATTGCAGTGGATTTGATGAGCTGTCCTAATTGAGATGATGATGATGAAATAATCCAGTGATAATTCAATAATATACCTAATATATGTTACACATTTACTGTTC